AAAAATTAAATTTTATTAAAGTTTATTTTCGATTGGCGCATATAAAAAAACCTATTCCCCCCCCCCCCCCCCCCCCCAACTTTCCAAGTGTCGCCAGGGGTACCACTGCAAGATCTACTCCACGCGAGAATCCTTCACCCTTCTCCTTCTAAAACGAATGTAAGGGAGGACCTCTATCCACAATCCAATCCAAAATGAGCGAAGTGGAGAACGTTTTCGCACTTCACAAAGTGACCTTGCCGAGTATTCCGGCCGGGGGGGGGGTGTATACCTTTCTCTGCCAGGATAAGGTCGCCATTCAGATTGTCCTACATTTCTTTCAAGGTGACACCAGACACCCACCACTCCCCGTCAGGACGAGTCAAACAGATCGGCCGGGGAGAGCCCCATACAGGAAACATTGAAAGTTTAATTACCGAAACTTACTGATGACTCAATAAATTTTTTTAAAAAATGCACACTCCTTTGTTCTTAAATTAGACGGTGTGCATGTGACTGATGACATGGGGGGGGGGGTGTCTTTCTCCTTGATTTATAAAGACCGATTTTTCGCTAAGACGCTTAATCACTGGCGTAGGAAGGGACGGGCAGTGGGAGCGGCACTTTTTTCTTTAGATGGAAAGTCGGTACTTTGGCGACGTGCGGAGGTTTTTATTTAAAGTGGAAGGGGCGGAAAAATCTTGGCACGCGCCGAGAGGGCCCCCAGGGCTAGCTACGCCACATGTACTTAATTTAAAGTTATCTTTACTCATGAGATAGATCATATGTCAACAGCCATCCAGTTATTTATAATATAAATCATAGGTCAACAGATACACGGTTAGTTATAAGATAAATCATAGGTCAACAGATACACGGTTAGTTATAAGATAAATCATAGGTCAACAGATACACGGTTAGTTATAAGATAAATCATAGGTCAACAGATACACGGTTAGTTATAAGATAAATCATAGGTCAACAGATACACGGTTAGTTATAAGATAGATCATAGGTCAACATATACATGGTTAGTTATAAGATAGGTCAACAGATACACGGTTAGTTATAAGATAGATCATAGGTCAACAGATACACGGTTAGTTATAAGATAGATCATAGGTCAACAGATACACGGTTAGTTATAAGATAGATCATAGGTCAACAGATACACGGTTAGTTATAAGATA